TGTGGTGCTGTGGGTTAATGCGTTGGACTCCCAAGTTCAGCTTGAAATGCAAAGTCAGCGGTTCAAGTTCACCAGCTGCTCCTCAGAAACCCTATAAGGGTCACTATGAGTGGTAACTGACTTGATGGCACTTAACAATTTTAATTAAACCAAATTAATGGTTAGAACACATTTCCAAGCCTAAGGATTCACTTGAAAGCTCCTACAGATGACTGTAAAGTTTCTTACATTGTTTCTTTCATTCACATTAGAGAACAGGAGAGCCCTTCAGAATGGTTCTTCAGAAACCATTAAGCCTCTATGGGGAAAAAAGGGGCACATTGGGGATCATCTCTATAATGTCTAACCAGGAAGGGAAAAGGCCCATTTTCCATTATAGGTAACTGATAAAAATTTGAATTCAATCTGGATTCACATAACCTCTCTGAAATTCAGTCTTCTGAGAATTCAAATTGAAATACCTATCCTGCCTGAAGAAGTTGTTGGATTTAAATGTTTTGATCATCTATGATCTGACAGTCTCCCCAGTGGGAGATGTGGCACCTTGTAGTTGAGAATATGATATGTTGCAATTGTTACCTGCTGTCCAGGGGGCCTGACTCACGGCAAACCCACGTATAAAAGGATAGGTCTACTGTGACTCACAGGGTTTTTATTTGCTGATTTCTAGTTGATCACCAGCAGGCTTTTTATCCTAGACTGTCATTCTGGAGCCTCTGTTGGAACCTGTCCAATTTCAAGCAACACAAGTCTCCAGGACAAATGGATGGTGGCTGCAATTGAGGTGGAGAATCCATATATACTCAAATAGATGTGAGAGAGACTTCAACAGTTTTTTTTTTTTGTCCCCGATGACTGATGATTTTTAGGAAAGGTCTAAACTGTATTCTACAACTGTAATTGCATTAAGTTCAAGTGACAACTTGGGGACAAACTAAATGGTTTATGGACCACACTGAGCTGTGTGACTGGAGTAGAAACATCCAGCTTTTGGAGCATGACCAAGTAGCCTTTCAGAAAGGGGATGTAGCTGCTTCTTTGGTCTTCAGATACATTTCTCTACCCGAGAGAGCTAGCAGAAGTGTTAGAGTTAACTTAGGTTAAGACTTCAAGAAAATATAATATACAGTGAAATCTTTAGCGAAAAATGTTAAAGTAGTTAAGTGTTTGCTATACACAGCAAAGAAAACACATCATCCTTTCTTTACAAAAGGAATGATAGAGGCATGGAATATTAAAGTAGGTGTGCATTGTTTAAAATAACGCAAGTAGAGTTGAAAAGGAATGAAAAAAATGGACTAGAAATGAGAAAACAAGAGTCCGATTTGGTTAGACCACATTTAGAAGTAGTGGTCAGTCTATATGTCAAGTAAGTTGGGTTCAAATCCTAGCACCTTACTTTGATGTTGGACAAGTTTTAGCCTCTCTGAATTTGTCCCAGTGAATTATACCTACTTCATAGGGCTTGGGGATTAAATGAAATAAAATTATGTACTACAATGTGTCTTAGCACATTGTAACTCACTATATATCTTTGAGCCAGGGCCTTCTCTGACAATGAGAGCAATAGCAAAGGTAAGCACCGATACCTTAAAGTACCATGACCATAAAGAAGGCTGCGTTCACTAGTTTCCCATACCAGACGGGACCTGTTGCTCTTTGTAACTGTCTAACCTACAGAACTATCTTTGCAACGTGGTATTATTTAGGAATTGCACTGTAGGATAAGCCCTGGACTGCTAACTGCAAAGTTTGCAGTTCACACTCACCAATAGCTTCTTGAAAACCCTATACAAGGCTGCTGAGTTGGAACTGGCTCAATGACACTCGGCATATAGGAGGGACACAATCAGTGTCTGCTAATTTGACTGCAAAGCACCAGACAACTGAAAACTTGAACTTTAGAAGTACTTACTTCCTTACTGCCTACCAGTGGTTCCACGGGAGAAAGATGAGGCGTTCTGCTCCCGTAAAGATTTACAGCCTCGGAAACCCTGCGCAGGGTCGCTATGAGTTGGAACCGACTCCACAGCACATGACAACAACAACAACTTCCTTACTGCAGGAAGGATAGGGGAGGTATAATAAATGAGGTTAAGGGATTGAAAAAGCACTCTAAAGATGACCTCTGCCCCACCCCTCCAGTGAGTGGATTCTGATTCCTAGCCACCCTGCAGAGGGCTTCAGAGGATGTACATCTTCACAGGCACAGACCTAACTTTCTCTTGCAGAGCACTTGGTGGGTTTGAACTGCCGACCTTATGATTAGCAATCCAAAGCTTACCCTACAGTGCCACCAGGGCTCCAAAGATGAACTCAATAATGTTCAAAACACTGTAAGTGTTGTCAAAGTTTGGATTCCTTGGCAATATCCTACTTTAAAAAGGAGGCTTTATTTTACATGGCCTTGCAAAGGCCTACAAAGGAGTCCTGAAAGGCTGACAGTGTGACTGAGCTCTACAAGTCAGTTCAATTGGTATGGATTATCTGCCTTCTGGAGGAGCTCTGGTAGTGTAGTGGTTACGAGTCAGGCTGCTAACCTCAAGGTCAGCAGTTCGAAACTACCAGCCATTCTGTGGGACGATGAGGCGTGCTGCTCCCGTAAAGGTTTACAGCCTTGCTGTGAGTTAGAAGCAACTCCACAGCACACAACCACCACCACTACCACCTGCCTTCTGGAGTCCTGGTATGGCACTGTGGGATAATGCACTGAACTGCAAGATTGGTTTAAACTCCAAGGTCGGGGGTTCAAACTCACCAGCTGCTCCTCGGAAACCCTTTACAGGGTCTCTGATTTGAAACCAACTCGAAAGCACTTCACAACAACCTGCCTTATGCAAGACAGGAGCCCTGATGGTGCAGTGGGTTAAGTGTTGGACAGCTCACCAGCTATTCCCTGGAAGACAGACGCGGCAGCCTGCTTCCACAAACACTCACAGCCTTGGAGATGTCATGTGGCAGTTGTGTTCTGGCCTCTAGGGTTGCTAGGAGTCGGAATCCATTTGAGAGCAGTACATTTGGTTTGGCTGGTTTTATAGATGATACCTAGGTGGACAGTGCAGGCAAAGGCAGGCCTGTATTGTCTAGAACACATTCACTCAATCAAAGACCAATTCATAGCATGGTCAAATCCAGAGCTGAAGGTCCGTGATAGCACAGGAGGACGAGAGGAATTGAGAAAAGATGCTTGTTCTGAATAAAACAGTCCAGGAGACTGTGACGTGTGCTGGGCTCTGAGTGCCTCCTAGTACATTCCAAACACATCGGCCATGGAGACTTGGGGAGAAGTCTGACAATTAGGTTGGTGTACATTTATAGTGGAGTCCTGGTGTGGCGCTGTGGGTTAATGTGCCAGACTGCAAAGCTGTTTGAACTGCAAGGTCGGCGGTTCAAAATCACCAACTGCTCCTTGGAAACCCTATACAGGGTTGCTATGGGTCGGAATCGACTTGCCGGCACTTACCAACAACATTTATAGTAAGCTTTGAATGCACGAATACAAAGTGTTAGATTTTGCTGATTAAACTGTTTGCTTTTCAAAGAAATGGACACTTTCGCTTGTACCTTATAAACTAATAGCCTGTCCTGTAGTGTGGTTAAATTGTATGAATGTTGGTATTTCAAAAGACTGTAAACATTATGTCTGATTCAACTCTTATATTTTATTAGAGCTTAAGGTGCCTACACAGTAAGCACTAGGCAAGTATCTGCTGAATGACCAAATGATTCCCAAGCTGGAAGGCCAAACATTAGGGCTCAGGCTGGGTGGTCACCTACCCACTGAAAATTTTCTGTTAAAACTAATTATCCCATTCGTCCCATTTCTCTGGAGTAGGTGGGCCCCCTCTTTAGCTCCTCTCCCCACCATAATCACAGCAGTCAGAGATGGTTGAGGAGTTTATTAGGGAAATATGAGAGAAGACACCCCAAGTGACAGAAAGAAAACTCGGAAAATGTCCCTTCAAGCCAAGTGGGGGCCTGGCCTTGACCTTCCCAAAAGTACAATAAACTGGTGGGTTAGCAACAACATTCTCTGGCAGTCACCCTGCCAGGGCATGAGTATCTCAGCTAAGACTGTCCCCCACTCGCCACCAAAGGTGCAGAGGAGGCAGAGACTGTTTAGATAAACAGTGCAAAGGCCTGGAGAGCCGTACAGAAAGTCTGAGACAAAGAGAGGTGGGGAGGACCCTACAGAGTCCCAGACTTCTGGCTCTGAGTGCCTCAAATACATTGAAAAGTAGTTCTATAAAATGCCACTGAAAAGGTAAAGTGTCTAATGTCTCCAAGAGTCCCCCTGGACTTCTCCCCACATGCCACATCATACCCCCAGATGTACACGCAGAGCCCAAAGGCCACACTTTTGAAAGAAAGAAAGACAAGAATAAGCCCTGTTGCTCTGTGAGGAGACAGGAGTGGACTGAGGCTGCTGGGCCTTTCCCATGTGGTCCTGGGTTCTGAAAAGCAACTTCCCAGCAGCAGCATGGCACAGTTCTAGGTGAGAGTCTCGCCTTTTGTCACCTGTAGAAGGAAAATGGACATTTCAATAAATTCAACACTATCAGTGGTGGTGGTTTTAAGCCATGGAGTCAGTTCCGACTCACAGCAACCCTGTGTAAGGTTTCCAGGGCTGTAAATCCTTTTACAGGAGCAGAAAGCCTCACTTCATCTGTCTCCCGAGGAGAAGCTGGTAGATTCGAACTACTGAACCATAACCCACTACACTACCAGAGGACTGCTGTTGTTAAGTGCCTTCAAGTCGCTTCCGACTCATACAGAGTTTCCTAGGAGTAGCTGGTAAATTTGAACTACCAACCTTACAGTTCAAACTGACCCTGTGGTTGAGTGCATTTATCCCACAGGGGTCTTTAGATCCTTGACAGGCAGTGGGAGGTGGTAGAAAAGAACATGGCTGGTTCAAATTTAGGCAAGGGACTTCCTTTCTCTAAGCCTGTTTTCACTGTCTACTTTCAGGGTTGCTTCAGCAATAAGTTGGAATGTACCTTCTCCCTGGGACAGCCCCTTACCCCATCATACTCACCCGGGCTTCGATGTACTCTATTCTCCGTTCAAGGGCTGTCAGCTTCTCGTTTAGCGTGGCGAGTCTTGAACGACAAGACATATCTGGTAAAAGGAGACTGCTGTTCAGGATTAATGTCACTCCAACACAGACACACAAACCCGCTGCGCCGAAAAAAGAGGAAGTGATACATGCAGAGTACAAAGGGGGAAGGGGGGAAAGTCCGGGATAAGCGAGGAGACTCAAAGAGTTTTAGAAAAACAGTGCTTAGAGTGAATCTGCTATTCTACCTAGTGGGTTATGCAGGTAACAGCCCCCAAAGGTGTCTATGCACTAATCTCAGGAACCTGTGAGGACTTTGGACATGTGATTCGAGTGGAGAACCTTAAACTTGGGAGAGGATCCTGTTATTACCCAGGTGGGGCCCAATGTAATCACAGGCGTCCTTCAAAGTGAAAAGAGTTTATTAAGGAGATAAGATGGACCAAGAAGGGAAGAAGGGGAGGCAAGATCCAGAGCATTATAACAGGGTAGGAAACCTTTTTTTAATGTTTTATTATGAATTATGTGATAGTTTACATGGAAGAACATTAGCTTTACAGTCCTATCGTATATCGTTTCAATAATCCCCTCCATGCATCAACAACCAACCAACCCTGCAAGCCTCCCCCTCCCCCCATCAGTACACAGTCGCTCTCCCTCTCTGATCTAAAGTTCCCAGCTGCTCCATTGCTCCATCTCAGGCGTCACTGCTTCTCTGGGTTGGGTACCACTCTCCACTCTTCTCCTTTGATGGACGCGGGGACCTCCACTCCTAGACTGCAAAGTCAACCACTCCCCTACTTTTGCTACAAAATGTCTACCTTTACATTTCCAACCCTCACAATCAGCCCTGTTAACAATTATTCACTAATGTATTACAAGGGATCTATCCGCAGTTCCTTTCATCAGCCCCGCCCAGACAGATTGGATACTATTCAGTAGAGATTCTACCCTCCTCCAAGCCCTCTAGATCTAGGTTCCCTCTTGAAAGCTTGTAAGTCAGTCACTTGCCTTTGTAGCCCCCCATTTTGGGTAGCCAATGTCCAAGTTACCCATCCCTGTCTACTCTGTGTATGGAGCAGGTGGGAATGATCCTCGCTGTAAAAATTTGTTCCCTCTTTTGAGCTACTGCATCCATAGATGTAGGTCAAGCTTATCAAATTGTATCAGATTACTCTTTTTTTCTTCTTCTAGTTGAGCTCTGATCATCCAGTCATTGAAGCCAGGTAGAGTGGGTATTATCTGCAAGTGTGGGTGTTCTTATGCATATGTCCTTTCAGCTGGACACTTCACTCTCCACTCTAGTCCTCTGTGGCTATGTCATTGACTCTGTACTCAAGAGTTCCTAGGTCTTGACACACTGCTGGCCAACTAGGTCTCCATCTAGGTTCACAGGAGTCTACTGAACGTTGTACGGCGTAGCTTGCAGCTTCACTGCTGTTTTTCCCACACTTCTCCTTATTAGAAATGAAAGTGGTCACCAATCAGAGCATGTATTCCCATTGAGTCTCAGTCTTGGAAGGGGGTTTGCTCTGAGGGGACCCAACCACTTGGCTTGATGTCTCCTGGGTGAGCAACGTGCTTGTTCTTGTAATAATCAGTCAGACTGCCCATATTGTTTTGTATTTTTCCTGTTGGTCTTTCTTTCAAGAACTATCTTCTGTTC